TTTTTTTTTTTTTCTTGTTGAGTTTCTGGTCAATTATATAGAGAGAAGTTGTATATAGATCTAGTCGGTATAGGAAAGGGTTCTTATTTCTTTTTCTTTAAAATGTATTTATCATTTAATTAAGTTTAGTATTTTATAATTTTGAAATACCCGATAAATATGGTTGAATGTTTAGATCTACTAATATAAACCCTTAAAAATTGACGAGATTGGGTTTTGGAACAAATAAAATTGCAAAGTTTAAAAAAACAATGTAAAAATAATTTTAGAAGCGCGCAATTACATTATTATTTTTATGTAGAATGACATTAATCACTTGTAAGACCTACTCTATATTATAATATGTAATTATTATTTCATATAATATAATGGACTTAATAGACAAATGTATTTAATTATTAAATAATTTTACTATATTTGAGTTAATATTGATGGATTTTTTTCTATAAAATTAAATATAAATATTTATTTATTTAATTAGTCATATGTAGATGTGAAATGGATTTGTCAAAACAATTTTTAATTTAATATACATATATGAGAGAAACTGATAACAAAAACATTTATTTTTTTTTTAAATATATTTTCAATTAAAGTTAGTCAAATATTTTATTTTTTAATATTAAAACACCTAGACATAGATAGAAGTCTAAATCTAAAGTAAATGATGTAATTTTATTATAATATTAAAAAAAAATTAACATATTTGCAAATAAAATAAAATAGATAGATTTGAAAGTAAATGACGTCAATTTTTTATTTTTTCCGATTGCTGCAAAATAACTAAAAGGCCATATCCTCCAAAACAATTTGTCTGATTGCTTAGAACAAAAAGCCCAAGACTTGCTTTAATTAACCAGGCATGAAGAAAAAAGGAGCTAAAAGGTATATTAATGCAAATGAGGCCGGGGAACAAGTTTTTATCATCCAAGCTTCAGTCTTTCAGTGCCACAGTTCTTCAACAGTACAAAATATATCATCCCCTCCAAAAGAAATATTGGCCAGAGAATTTTAGCACAAGAGCCTCTCTCATAATCTCATCAAGCTTTTCTTTCTAGCATCGATCTTCTTTTTGTCCGATTGGACCTTACTCAGCCCAGCTTCCTGATGCAGCGCATCCCACATCGGATTTGAAAGGAAACGAAGCAAGCCTTATATGAGGATGTGGATACCTTCACTAGTAAGACGCGTTTTGGTGAGTGTGTCTTGAAGCCCAGCCAAGAACAAAGTCGTGCGGGTGGCAGAAGTAGCCCAAAAAAACAATATCTTACTAGGGTCTGCATCTCTTCCTTCTTCAGGGCAGTGGCAGCAGCCGGAGGAGCCGCTGTTGAGCCACCGACAGATGAATGTGTGGCGGTCGTGTAGTGTTGACCGTTATTTGGATGCCAGTGGGGAGGGAGGATCCTGGCTCGAGAGGGGATGGTTTTTCTAGTCGGGACATTTTGTCGAGGCGTTGACTTGGTCAATGTTTAGACCGGCGGTTGACTCAGAGATGGGGCTGTTTTGAGCTTTGGCTTCGGCTTGGGGGCGTGTATAGTCTGATTCGAATATGGTTGGTTATTCAAAGAATTTGTGAAAAAAACCCATATCTGTTCAAACTTTTTCAAACTCAATTTCAAGACTTTTTGTAGTTTGAATAGACGAATGTGTGAGAGAGAGGGGAGGG